TGAGGACTCCGTTGGGTAATGCTCTAAAAAAGCGACAAAATGTCAACATACTTGCTCTGACGTGATTCCCAATCGATACTGTCTTGCGTTTTACTAACTTTGTATTCCAACACGGTACTTAAAAGTAGTTCAACCTCACGGTCTGTCCACACAAACGAACCTCCAGGCRCCATGATCAAAACAGGAAGMTGTGGTCGTTTTGGAGGATTTTGATTGGCTAACATACGTTTCATCTTTGCACTGCATTGCCCCCTATGGGTTGGGCGTGTTTTTTACAACGCTCAGTGGTGAAATTCAGCGGGTTCATGTGGACGAAGATTTTCCTCTAACCAATCCTGTGTGGACGGTGATATTTTTTGGCGGACAYATTCGTTTTTTAAAGACCCGGCTACGTGTGTACAAGGCTTCAGAGTAACAGCTATGTAAAGGTTTTCCTTGTTAAATAACATTTGACTACAGTTTTATAGTAAACAGACCCTAAATTGGTCATGTGACTAAGATATAAGGATGTCCATGGACTCCAGGGGATTAATCGTCAAATTAATCGTTATCGCCTAAATACCACAATTAATCGTGATTAATTTTTTTTTTGGCAATATTGCCCAACCCTAATTGAAACATACACRAGGTTTTACAAAAGAGTCATTTGTGACCTTTGACCTTGAAATCAACAGGAATCATCTTTGACCTATGATTGGTCCAGCTGTGCAGTTTGACATTTCTAAATTACAGAGTGAACTAACAGTTCAGACAAAAGTACCATCGGACAGGCATATGGACGGCACCATATTGTGACATGTTCCGTCTTAGGATGGGAGCAGAAAAGATGGGCAATCAACAGYAGCAGCCCAGTGAGAKAACTAAAATCTTTAATAATACACAATTAAAAGACATCCATAAAACATCCATGTCATAAWATACATAGGGCCATTTTGGTCATGACATGGTTAATTTTGCCATTCCAAGCCCTTGCTTAAGCCTTTAATCTCATGTTAGGTCAGAAACAAACATTGATGGAGAGACAAGAGAGCAGAGAGTAGGTAAGATTACTATATATTTAAGACTCAGGAGGAGAGGGAAAATGTGATTGCTGGATAGATGAGCTATTTTTATAATGAGGTCAGTGTGCGTTGTGAGACTTGACTCTCCTGGGAAATACACACACAGCGGAACAGAAACAAAACGTTTCTCCTGCTGAGAAGAGCTGCCTCCGTCCACAGGCAGAGGACAGAGACATACTACGTGTTGAGGACTTTCAGGATTTCATTTATAATATTATTATGACCCCCGCATGCAAAGCATAACCAGGAGTCAAATTGTTTTCGTACGTTTTTTTTTCCAGTAATTTTTGGTCAACCGTAGCACAAAAACGGCTGCACCGGTCAACATGAAATTTGGCAGGACTGTAGAGAGTCTGACCTACACTGCGCCAGCCAAYRGTTTTACGATAGACCCCATACAGTATTTGAGGAGGGGGCTCCTCTCAAATAGGGGGTGTCTGGACATGCAAAAATGCTTATAACTCAAACTGTTCAACAAAGAAGCTTCAGATTAATTTTGTTGTTTAGTGCTGATGAAGTTCTATCCATCAGGCCCACCAATCAGTGCCCCGCCCCACCCCCGGACCCCCAATTTTTCTGCRAAAAGGGCTATCTGGACATACAAAAATGGTTAYTGCTCAAAAACTATTAAATATAGGAGCTTCAGATTTTTGTTGGTTATTCAGCTCTGATGAGGGGCTATCCATCAGGTCAACCAATGCAATAGAGACATTTCTACTTTTACAGTATGTTTTTATTTTGTGGATTTTACACAGTATCARCTGTGCATTTTATAGTTTTTAAACATGTAACACACTCATTAAGAACACCATGCTACACAGTCTGTATGCGTAACTGCCACTTGCAACTTTTATTTTAACCATTATGTTCTTTTTTGTTATTTCCTGTTTTAGAAAGTAAATGTGCCTCTCTTGCAGCAGTTTGTTGGTTCATCTAACTGTAATCTCTAATYTAACAATACACTGACTGACAAGTTTTGCTGTGTCATAAAATCCCCCTTCAAAGACTTCTCTTTAAACAAACGTTACTTAAGCAAAATGTTTACCTGTCGATTTATTCCTTCCACCTCAGGTGATCTCTCACTCCTTTTTTAGGATGGTGCCCTGGTCGTGGTCCTGTCCCCCCGCACACCCTCCCTGTTAAAACAGAAAAGCAAGGAATTTACTTATTAGCTAGCAAAGTGTGAAATGTTTTTTATAATTCTTATACATTTTTTTACTTTAACAAGAACGCTGCCATTTAGCTCGTCCTACGTAAAACCAATGTTATGTTCATCTATAAAGATTTTCATTTATTTTGTTTTTCCATTTTCAACATTTTAAAGACATATCAACAAACTTATAAGAAAAAAAAATCCAACAAATCTATCCAATATCTGCTGCTTGTTCTGGCWTCCAGCTATGGGGACAGTAGGGTTGGGCATCGAATCTCAATTGGATCGGGACTAATGTTTCAATTCTCCTGGAATCATTTGTACTTTTACATTTTGATACCTTGTTTCAATACCCAATCTGCCTGGAAGAAGAAGCCGCCCAACACTAACAAAGGAAAAAACTCAGGTGAGCMGCCGAACACCAATCTGARTTGGTGTTCAGACTCAAATTGTCAAATTAGGTTAAATAATCTGCCAGTGCAGTAAGTAATTAATAAGTAAGTAATTTGCACTTGGGTAAGACTGGAAATGAGGAAATCATTTCTAGGCTAACAAGATTAATAATCAAATACATTCTGCTCTTGCTTAGTACATCGTCTCAAAACAAGATCAAAAATACTCTTTGGCTGGATATAAGTGTACGATTTGGTTAGATGGACAAGTTTTGCAGAGTACCTCTGTGTGAAAAGTAAATTAATACCATCTGTTCATCTAGAAAGAACTCYGGTTAGCTACGTGATTTAAACCATKTACAATTTTTTGACCCTGCCTCTATTAAAAATTGAAATTGGGAATCAATGGCAACTGGAATCGTTCAAACTCAAACGATGCCAACCCTAGTGGACGACAACCCAGACATGTCTTCACAGCCACCTTTTCCAGAGGTTTTCCACCAAGGCGTTCCCAGGTCAGCCAAGAGACAGTCTCTCCAGCGTGTCCTGGGTCTTCCTCGAGTTCTCCTCTGAGTGGGACATCCCTGAAGCRCCTCCCTAGAGAGGAGTCCAGGAGGCATCCTTACCAGATGCCAGAACCACCTCAGCTGGGTCCTCGGCTCTTCTCTGAGCCTCTGCCGGATAACTGAATTAAACATTCAACTATCCTGCAGAACTTTAACCGTTTGTACCCATGATCTTGTTCTTTCTATCACTACCCAGAGTTTGTGACCACAGGTGAGGGTAGRACCGTAGAGCAATCAGTAAACAGAGGGTTTTGCCTTGAAGCTCAGCTCCCTCTTCACCAGACCCAAATAYTGCTGAAGCTGAATCGATCTGTCAGTCTCGCTCCACATTCATCCCTTATTTTGTGACTAAAGCCCTGACATATGGTACTTAAACTGCTCCATTTAAGGCAGCACCTTCACAACCCAAAAATGTTTTTTTTCTTGATGGTAAATTAACAAGACAGACTTTTAAGCTGCTACTTATCCAAGAATAATAATAACAATAAGCATCTTCAGTTATTTCTGAGCCGTAGGAAGTGATAACTATTGTAGTGGCATAATGGCAACAAGGTATTAAAAAATAAAGTCATATTATAATGTTGAAAGATAAAAAGCTTTATTTATAAAAGCACTAAAAGTTATTCCAGTTGCTGAGCTCTTCTAAGACCTGTGGTTTTTCATGGCATAAAGAACATCACGGTGCAATGACCCTCAGTGTACAGCAGGCAGCAGCGATGTGGTTTACACACTAGCACGGCTCYRCGTGGCCTGTTTTACAAGCGCGCACACACACACAGAAACACACAGATGCACTGAACTAACTCTCTCTTGCAGCCTCTTGCTCGCTCTAAATACCTGTCACTTTGGCCCTCCATTAATCTGAGCGAGCGCTCGTTTAGCCAACAGTGTCTCAGCAGTTGGAGACGCAGGCTGCCCACTCAGTCACATCCAGCCGTATTAAATAAATAAGGAGCGCTCGTCTGTGTAAATTATTCATTTAACACACCTTATCCTCTTCCAACAACCTTGTTAGAGAACCTCAGGAGCTGAGAGGAGGGGACCAGAGAGGAGGGGAAGCAGAGGCGAAGAGGCAGACACCGCAGCTCATGTGCAACTCAGCAGAACCTGTGGTGCATCCCTAAGCTCTCTTGGCGTTCAGTGTAGGGGGGCTAATTCACCCTGACACCTCCTTTGTTTCAGGCAGAAAAGAGCCGCATACACACACCTCACAAGTACACACYGACATGCACAAACCTGGAGAGGAATAAAAAGCACAAGAAGGATGTTTTTAGTGCATATTCATAGAATAGGCATTCTAGTTGACTGGATAAATTATTAAGAAACAGGAGTCCAGTTCACGCATTGCTGAAATGTTTCAGGGGTGGGTACTTTTCTGTGTTCCCAAAACTCTAYGCAGAAAACACAGGAAGGTATTTGCTCCAAACAAATTGATATCCAGTAAAATGATTATATTCAACAGACAGATGTTCTTCTAAGGATGAATATTTTAGGCAAAAGAACTCTTCAAATTCATCTTTAGTTCTGTAAATCTGTGTTTTGCAGATTGTACTGAACTTCCTATGGTCATAAAGAAAAAAAAATAAGTAGGTCCTCTGAATGGGTTCTTCTTTAGTGAAACGTTTCATCTCTCCTCCAAGAGACTTCTTCAGTCTGATGAGTTTCAGGTGAACTCAGCCTT